AAACGTGTCGAGAAGGCTCAAACCTTGCCTTCTAAGTAAGCTGTGCTGATTCTCACTTGAATGCAGATTGACTGAGATTTTAATCACACTTTAGGGCATCTTTCCTATAATCACCAAAATAGGTAACAGAGTTCTATTTTAAAGAAAGTCACTACCGTGTTTTCTCTATTAGGCTGGTCAATTCCTATTATTATTTTTGGTTTTCGTTACATTGTTTATGGGGAGTGCACGTACATGCTACTGTGCACATATGGAAGTCAGAGGACATCTTTGAGAAACTGATTTTCTCCACCATGTGGGTTCTGGGGACCAAACTCAGGTTGTCACACTTAGCATCAAACACCTCTAACCACCGGACCATCTTACTGGCCCATTTTTTATCTCGTTTAGGCTTTTTTTTTTTTTTTTTTTTTTTTGAGCCAGGGTTTCATTTAACCCAGGCTGGCCTTGAAATCCTGATTCTCTTGACTCTACCTCCAGATTTCTGGGATTACAGGCCCCCAGGCCCCCACCACTGTTCCTGGCTCTTGTTAATTCCTGTCAGCACTGATTTCATGCACTGATGTTGAGACTCACTCTCCCTGTAATGTTGATGGCAATCCGAAGCTCACTCAAGGTGGCTGACTTTATGACTTGGCTTTCATGTCTGTGTGGCACTTCTACATCTTATATGTCTGGGGCTCCCAACAACCCCAAAGAGAGTTACTGATTACCGTCTTCCAGGGATGAAAGCACTACAACTACCAAGGGTTAAACTAAGCAACCGGTTACAATAAAGCCCAGAATGTCCCCCTTTGTGTCTAATGTACATGACCGAAAAGAAAAGCAGTCCACCAAACCTTTCACAGTGGTTCTAACCCCAGAAAAACCCAGGAAGACAGCAGCTGAGACCATTTAAGGCAGCCCAGCCTAGCTCCCTTATGATTCGTTCTAGAAACTATAACCTCAGCTTGGAGGCAAGAGAGGAGGCTAGTTGAGCACTTCTCTCAGAGAAAAGCATTCTTAAAGATCTCCAGAGTTGGGCATGGCAGCTCTCACCTGTAATCCCAACATTCAAGAGACAGAGTCAAAAGGATCATGTGGTGGAGGCTAGCCTGGGAAACACTGTGAGACCCTGTCTCAAAAGAAAAAAAGAGGAGAACATTTGGACATTGGGTGCTAAATTGTTCCAGGATCTTTCAATGAAGAGAGAGAGAGAGAGAGAGAGAGAGAGAATAGCCTTGAGTTCTAAGAAATAGCTCAAGCTTTTACAAAAACTTTATTGAGCATTTCATATATGCATATGAGATGTTTTGATTAAATCCATGCCCACTCCCTCCCCTCCAACATTCCCCCCTCTGAAGTGGTACCCCTAAAATCTTTTAAGGATTAGATTAAAGATCCCAAATACTTTTGACATTTTTGGCTTTGGAACAGAGTATGTTGCTAATAGGCCCAAGGACATTTTGACTTTTAGCCAAGAAACTGGCTACATTTCTTTGGGGTCTTTTTTCTTTCTTTTTTGGTCTTTTTGAGACAGGGTCTCCCTGTAGCCCCAGCTGGCCTGGATTCGCTGTGGAGACCAGGCTGGCCTTGAACTCACAGAGATCCGCCTGCCTCTGCCTCCCGAGTGCTGGGACTAAAGGCGTACACCACCACGCCTGGCTTCTTTGGGGTCTTTTTACCCTAACTGCCTAGCCAATTCCTACCTCCTATTCTTATCACACCATCCTCTGAAGGGGTTACCCAAATTGCCAATAGGGAATAGAGACGCGGACTGTTCTGGCTTCTTCCATGCTGAACAGGGACTCAGGGTGAGGCAATTGGAGTACCCCTTCAGTGGGTCTATCTAAAGGGCTCCCAAATTGCATAACTCTTGTGAGAGAGAGATATTCAAATCAGCTTTTCTTACATAAAGCTGGATGGCACTAGTTTTGGACTTACCCTTTATATCAATGGCTACCTACCCCACCCTAGCAAGATTTATAGAACATTGTCTAGTCCACAGAATTTATCAAATTTAAATCAATTGCTTATTTAATTGTTTTTGACTTACAAAAAGGCAGTCTCAGATGGTTCATCCTCATAGAAAAATATCTCCAGTGAGTGGAAGGAAAGCTAGGAACAAAACTAAAAACAGATTGTAGGTTAAAAAAAATAGGTTAGCCGGGTGTGGTGGTGCACGCCTGCCAGGTGGATCTCTGTGAGTTCAAGGGCACCCTGGTCTTCATAGTGAGTTCCAGGACAGCTGGGGCTACAAGGAGACCCTGTCTCAAAAAGACAAAAAAGCAAAAACAAAAACAAAAAATAGCAGGTTATATATATATATATATATATTTGTTTTAGAAACCCTCAAACAGAGGAGAAATTGAGAGACAATGAAAGAGACATCAGAAGGCAAACAAGTGCGCTGGGGACCATAGAGTGATTGCTTATCATGTGCAAAGCCCTGACTTCAATTCCCAGAACCACAAAAATGAGGCGTGATGGTGCATATCTGTAATCCCTGCACTTGGGAGGATCAGACATTCAAGGCTGGCCAGAACAGAGACATAACTTTGGGCACTGACTAGTCTACAGCCTTCATTGTGTCCCTCACAGTCCTTTTTCCTTCAGCTCATGGTTCTTTGCTGGACCACATCGTCTGACTTTTTTTTTTTAATATTTTATTTATTATTTTTATTTTATGTGTATGAATGTATTGCCTGCATGGAGGTAAGTGCACCCGTGTCGTGCAATGCCCAAGGAAGACAGAAGAGGCCATTGGATCCCCTGGAACTGGAGTTATGGACAGTTGTTAGCTGTCATGTGAGTGCTGGGATTCAAACCTGAGTCTTCTGCAAGAAGAAACAGTGTCTTAACCGCTGAGCCATTTCTCCAGCCCCACATTGTTTGACTTTAATTTTTCATAATGTTCTGTTTTTTAGTTTTTAAAAATATTTACTGATTATTTTTTTGTGTTTGAGTGTTTGCCTGCATGTATGTAAGTACATTTGCATGCAGTGCCTTGTGGAGGCCAGAAGAGAGTGGCAGATCTTCTAAAACTGGAATTACAGACAGTTGTGCATCATGTGGGTACTGGGAACCAAACCCAGGCGCTCTCCAAGAGCCAGCTAGTACTCTTAGCCATTGAACCATCTCTCCAGCCCTGTTGTTTTATATGTTTCTCTTTCTTTCATTTCAGTCTTATTTTTAGAATAAATATCTTGACAGCATAGCCCTGGGCCATATGTTTCAACCTCTTGGGACAGGGCAAGTCAGGCATTAAGTACTCAGTAGATGTATATTAAGTAGGCCAGAAATTGACATGGGCTCTGCTATAAGAGACTGCAACCAGAAATGTAAATTCACAAGGACCAATAATAATAACACCCATCTTCGGGTGGTACTTCTCTGTCCTCTGTCCTACATTTTAGCTCTAAATCTGAGAACAACCTTATGAAGGGTACAACTAATCTGATTGGACAACTGAGTGTGCTCCAAGATTTCAGAAAGCTTAGGTGCTTGCCTCAGGCCACTGTAAGTACTTGAACTTCAAGCCCAGGATACTGACTTTGGAGCACACACTCTTTCCACTGGCTTTCTATATGGGGCAGTGCCTGCCACCTTTAATAATACAATAAAATAATAATAATAACAATAACAACAACAACAACAACAACTAAGGCTGATATAAAGCTTAGTTTG